AATAATATTTTCCATCACATCAACAACTTTTCCTTCTTTTTCAACAACACATTCTTCATCAATTTACTATTCCAAAATTATTCTTCCAAAATACTGTGGTTCAAACACACCCTCGAATTTGTAAAATACTTTCGAGTGGTCACTGAAATTCAAAATGTTGCACTCCACACTCATTCATCATGTTCCATTAATCACAAAACTTATACATCTGTCACGCTTTATTGACTGAACTTTAAAAAGCTTTCGAATAGTCATTGAACTTTACTCAATGAATCCAACAGTACAAAAATCGAAAAATTTGAAATATAAAATACCATACACTAAAGTGTCATTATTCTTTCCCCTTTCATTACCGTGTGATAACCTCAAAAAATATATTTTGTTAGTCTTAATTAATATTATTAATACCAAATTGAAAATTTCACTGCCTATTTGAGATATAATTTTTAATTTTTTTAATTTGGGTTTACGGTCTCAATCGAAATAATAATTAAAAAAAATCTCTATTATTTTCTCGACGTAAAATAGATTATAATCTAAATTAAAATTTATGTAAATTTGAAGCTAGCTAGCATTCTTCTATCCTCTTCAATGTAACTTTTGAAGACTAGAGAAATTATATATTTTTTTAACCAATATTAATATTCTCATCTTAAATTGAGAGTTGCATTATCTATTCAATATTTATTTTATTGGTCTAAGTCGAATCTTATAAAAAATAAACTTTACTCTAAAATATTGAAAAGTTCACTGAACACTGAGTATTTTAAAGTTAAATGAGTAAAGTGTAATAGAGGTATAAGTTCAGTGATTAATGAAATGTGGTGGGTGAGTGATGTAATGCTAGGTGTTAAAGCTCATGACTTCTCAAAAGCCTTTTAAATTCAATAACTTATAAAACATGATGAATGAATAATGAAGTGTAATAATTTAAAATTTAATGATCACTCAAAAGTATTTTAAAATTCAGTGACTGAAATGTCACAAAGATATAAATTTCGTAACTAATCAAACATTTTAACTCCGATCTGAAGTGAAGCGGGCCGCTGGAATTATAGCATCTAAAACTATTGTCTAATAAAATGAAAACTGCACCGAAGATCCTACTCCTGAGAATTATAGAAAGAGGCTTATTATAAATAAAAAAGACAAAAGACAAAAGCATAAAAGGACCTAAAAATAAAAATGAAGCTTGTTGCCGTTTTAACTCATTCATGTTATACTTATATTTTTTATTTTATTGTCTTGTGAGAGTGGAAGTTATAATCCTTATCGATTTGCAGATTTAATAGTAATATAAAATACTTTTGGCAATATTGAAATCACTAATAAAAACGAAAAATATTATAAGAAAATTGAATTAGGAAACTTAC